TTCGGGGCGGCCAGCCATACTTCTTTCACTGCTTTCTCGTACCTCCCTGGCAAGCCATGGGAGAAATGAAAGAAACGCCCAGGGCTGTGACTTCTTCATGTGTCATGGAAAGACACGGGCAGCCTACTAGGTTAATGGAAAGGACCATTCAGAAAACACAGCATGACTGAAGGTGGGGCATGTTGGCCACTTGTGAACAATACCAAATGATTGTAACAGCGCCTTTACTTTGCAAATCGCAGCTAGCAAGGGACCACCGCAGGAACATGACCTTGTACTGCACCTCATTTTTATCGAGTTTACATGCATTTATGGGTTTTTTCCATGTTTTCAATGGTTTTCTAGCAGGAAAGTAGCTTTTTTACATATTGGGGAGATTTCCACATGTTATGCACTCATGCGGTTGCCGGTGAGTTTTGGCTTAAAAGCGAGCGGCATCCTCGTTTTCAGGATGTTGGAGCCTGCAATGGCCTCTTCCATTGCGCTGACGCTGCGTGAGGATGACAGGGATGCGGCTGGTCGTGCTCGTCTGCAGAGCTACGAGTCCCTGCCGCGGTTCTTGCCGGCGCGCATTTGGCGGCAGATCTTGGCTTGCCAGGAGCCGGGTGCGAAGCCGGCGGCATCCGTGGATGCGTTGGGTCAGCTGTGCTCCTTCTTGCACAAGCTGGGGCTCAAATATCCTTCAGAGCCAACCTTCGCGCGCATTTATGTGCTGCAGAATTGTCGCGGACAGTTGGTTGGCTTGAGCCGCGAGCAGGTCAGCGCTGGCTTGACCAGTTGCAAAGGGCAGGCGCGCGCTGCGCTGACGCAGCTCGCAACCCAGCCAAGAGTGTGCTCAGCGCTGGTGCGTCTGCCCTCGGAACTGCGGGAGCTATCGCCTGAGGAGTGGCAGTAGCTCTATGGAGAGGATGCCCTGCCGGAGCAACTTCCAGTTGCCATGGAGACCCTGCCTGGAAGTGTTGCAGGGCTCTTTCAAGCTACGCCGGCGAGACAGCAGCACCGGATCGGCGCCTGCCGCTGCGCTGCTGGCAGCGTTGGGTGTAGCGGCACCACTCTCGGCCCCGTGTCGCGAGCCGCTTCCGTTGCCGCCCCCTCCCTTGTTGGCACTGGAGGACGGTCCGGCTCCGCCCAAGGACCAGGGCACGCCTTCAGAAGCTGTTGCTGCTGCAGCTTCTGCAAGCGGGAACGCGGCGGACGTGGCGCCGCTGCTAGTTGCTCCTGGAGCCGAGGACTCGCAGGAGGTGACCCCTGCCGAAGAAGAAGAAGAAACAAACCAACAACTGCAGCTTGCTGCCTCGGCGCTTGCTGTCTCCCAAGCGATGGATAGCAAGGCAGAGCACCAGGCGGCGGCTGCCGGTAGAGCCTGGACCAGGCTTTCCGCGCCATGTTGCCTGCAGAGCCAGAGAAGGCAGCTGCCACGACAGGAATGAGTGGAGGCAGCGCCAAGAAGAGGCCAGCCGCTGCTAAGGGCGGGCCTATGAAGCGTCCTGCTGCTGTGCCCACTGCAAGCCCGCCACGCCGGCCGGCGGCCGCTGAGTTGTCGGCCAAGAAGAGGCCAGCCGCTGCAAAGGGCGGGCCTATGAAGCGTCCTGCTGCTGTGCCCACTGCAGGCCCGCTACGCCGGCCGGCGGCCGCTGACTTGTCGGCGGCGCGGGCGTCGGCAAGCGCTGACAGTGTTTTGAGGCGGCCCGCTGCAGCCGGCCCTGCAGCCGCAGAGACCCGCGAGGAGCTGCTGGCGCGGGCGCCGCAGGAGCTGAAGGATCGCTTCGCCGAAGGCTGCTGCCGCTGTCGCTGGCGGCCTCTGCGCTGCGTTTCCTGCTGGCGCAAGCGCGGATTTTGATTTGCGCGCTCAGCCTCGCAAAATGGGTCGAATGTATATAGTCGTGTGGGGATGCGGTACGATTTTCGGATTTGGGTTGGTGACTCTAGATCCTAAACCCTAAACCACGCGGCACAGACCCTAACCTCAAAAAAAATCGTGTCCAGCTTCTCTATAGAACATGAACTGCTTAGTTGGCAAGACAGTTGCTGGTATATGCTGCTATATAGTCTTTATAGCGTGCATGCTATATCCATGTAAATATATAGGCATATATGTATATATATATATATACACATGCATTATAATGTGTGTGTATATATATAAGATATACTTTAACATTTACCTCCTGCGCTTGTATCAGCACGCAGCCGCCCGGCAGCTTTTTTGGCTGACAAGCTTTCACTTTTTGTGCGGCCAAGTGGATGGTGTCCTTGATCTTGTCCTTGCTCTTGTGCTCGATGCCCACATAATAGACAGCGCCGAAGACATCGTGGGACTTCTGCTCCCCATAGGCCTCCACAGCTTCCACGTCGTACCCCTGCTGAGCCCACCACAACAGCGGCTGAAAGCCGCCGCCCACCGAGGTTTTTTCGGACTCTGTGACGGTGCTTGTCAGCGTGTCCACGAGGGGGCTGCGCGCGCGGTCGAAGGACAGGTGTTGGCCTTCCGCTTTGCAGCGCTTGAAGAACTCTACCTTCGCCGCCTCGGAGGTGCTGGCCCAGCTGTCCGGCAAGCCATCGTAGGCTCGCGCAAGCCGGCTGGTGACTTTGTTGCAGTCGGCGCACCACCAGGCCGTCTTGCTCTTCCAGACGCCTGCCGACCCTTCATTTTTGGGCTCGTCGCACCGGCGGCGCTTCACCAAGTCGGCTGCAGCGACCAGCGCGCCGCCTCCGGGCTGCAGCGGCTGGCTTTCCTGTGCAGCCTCCGCTTCAAGCACGGTCGGCGCCACGGGCTCGGCTGGTTGAGTGGCCGCTTCCAAACCTGCATCTGCAGCCACGACTGGCTCGGCCGCAGCACCATCGTTCACGCTGGGGCCGCACATGGCTCAGCTTCTCGGCACGGAGTGGGGCAGTGGCTCCGGAGCTGACGCGCCTGCGGTTTTCTGCATTTTTTCGGCGAAGGATTTTGCAAAGAAATCTTATTCGCTCCACTTGGAATAGAGCGGAATTCAGAGCCCGGAAGGAAAGCGTATCTGGGGCGTATCTGGGCGTATCTCCGCGTATCTCCGCGTATCTGGGCACCAAATTGGCCCAGATACGGGACATTTTGGTCGTATCTGAGGCTCTCGGCTTAGGAAAACAGGCCCAGATACGCGGAGATACGCCCAGATACGCCCAGATACGTTACGTCTTTTTCTATCAGAAAGGTGGATTTTCGAGAGTTTCGAGCAGCTGTAACGGGCAAGGAGTCGGTTGTTTTGTCCATTCATTTTCCAAAGAAAAGATCGTGAATTTGCACGGAATCCATAAACCCCAAAACCCTAAACCCTGAGCCCGAAATCCTAAACCTTAAAACCCTAGACCCTAAATCCTACACCCCAAACCCCAAACCCTAAATCCAAAATCCTTGATCCTAAACCCTAAATCCTAAACCCTGAAACCTTATATTACCCTTTAGCCGAAACCCTAAACCCTATAAACTATAACCCTATAACCTAATTTGGTGCAGGGCTGTCTTTTTTCTACCGGCCTTCGTGTCTCTGCTGCGCGGCTTCCCGTGCAGCGCGCTAACGCTGGCCGCCCGCTGTTCGGTTGCGGCCTGGTTGCTCCGGACCCGCGCGGTTGCTCTCTGGATCGGGCGGCGTCCAGCAGGCCTACTGGAGGCTGCCGCAAGCCTGTGCAGCGCGCGCGTTGCGTTCCGCTGCCTCCATTAGTACGGGTATCCGTGCCACCACTTGGAGCCCCATCGCCGGTGCTCACGTGGCGGCTGAGCTGCAGTCTGGGAGCCGCCGACTGGTTCAGCGGCCTCCACTGCAGTCTCTGAGGCTGGCTCCCTGGTGGCGGGCTCCGGGGTCGAGTCCCGTTCAGGCGGGGCATCCGGCTGCGACCTGCGGACATCGCCCCCAGTTTGCGCAGCAGTCTGAGCCCTTTCAATGGCTCGCTGCAACCTGCGCACATGCTTAGAGCTCATAAGATGGTAGCTCATGGCCTCTGTCGAGAGGAACGTCTTGCGGCAAGCCAGGCACGTCAGGCCGTCTGCAGTAAAGAAGCGCAATCCTGGAAGCTCATCCGCAGCCGGCTCTGGCGCAAGCTGAGGCGAAGGCACCCCAACGGTTAGCAGCAACAGTGCGTCGGATGCCTGCTGCGCCTCCAGAGTGACAGTTGTCGTGCCAGCAACTGCTACAGCGGCCTGGGGCACGCCGTCTTGCGCAGCGGCCACAGAGGCCGCCGCCGTGCTTGCTACAGCGGCCTGGGGCACGCCGTCTTGCGCAGCGGGCACAACAGAGGCCGCCGCCGTGCTTGCCTGAGCCTCTGCCACAAGCTCGGCCGTGATGGTTAGGCGAACACGCTGAGGCTGCGCCATGGCTATAAGCAAAGGCAGCTACAGGGGCGCTTGCTTGTCTGGAAAGATGCAGGGGTTAGAGTATAGAGCCGTTTGGGGACACGTCTGAAACTGTTTGCAGGACAGGAACGCCGATGGCTGCAGAAAGGGTGCTTGTAGCTGCACACCTCAGAGTCTACACGCTGAAAAAGGTTGCTGCGCAGGCTATTTGATCCAAGACCTCTTACAGCGGCAGAGATTTTTTGCTGGCAGCGGACTGTCAAGAAAAGCGCACTCGCTTGTTTTTTTCTCCTTGGGCCCGTTCAGGACAACAGGTCTCTACGGCAGCAGCAGCAGCTGCAGCGGCCCTGAGGCCGCCGCCTGGAGCTGCAGCACCGGGCAGCGCGGCTGCGGTGGCGGCAGGCAACCTAGCGGCGGCCTTGCTCCCCACGAGCCAGTTTTGGC